CAAAGAATGTTCTCCAAATATGACACAGGAACTTGTGTTGATGTAAATAATCAGAACCGCAGCTCTAAACCTTGTCAGAAAATGCCACCTTTAATATTGATGAATGTAAACAATAGCCATGCTGTTCACAAATCAGATCAATTATTTTCTGATAGAATATTTTTTAATTAAATAGGATCATTTCAAGGAAACATGATCTTATAAACATTCTGAAAAGGAAATTTAGAAGCTATCAATCCTGAATTAATTATTTTAGTGTTTGTAAGTGATAAATAATCAACATTTACTTTAGAAACTCTACCAAAGGCAAAAAACCACCCCATTTTGCAAACTGAATGGTGACATTTTATCCTGATCTAAGATAGTTTTTTGGTATTTTAGAATTTTCACTCAGACAGACATTCCATATGACACTCATGTCTCCCTGCTCTCAGAAAGACTGTATCATTTATATGTACTAACTTAGTGGAAAATCTGTGATCAATTCAGTTAGAAATACCACAGATGATGGAACATATATGAGTTGTATTTCAAGGGAATTTCATTAAGTATTTGGGAATAATACAGTGCTTTACAAGCAAGGAGAGAAAATAATTCTCCTCTGCAGTTGAGCTCTGTCTTTTTAAAGCTCGTTTGTGGGGGCGCTGAGCGTTGCACATGAACTGACAAACAGCCTGTGCTCCGAGGTGTTAAAAATCTCAGCAACCGACATTTGTACTCCCAGCTACTGAACCAGAGCAGCAGGGCAATCAGTGATGTGCAGTTTTCTATGACTGGCTCATGTCATTCTTAGTCCTCACAAAATTAAGTACCAGAATTATTGTTTGCATGGATTTAAAAATAAATTACAGAACAAAATAGCGGTCTGTTAATGTAATTTATTGGTGAAAAATCATTTGTTCTGCAAACGACACTCAGCTCTAAACTTGCTTTTAATCCTCATATCTGCCTTAGAAATCTCCCGAGGTAACTTTTATCCTGGACAAATTACAAAGTATTTCCTGGTGTCCGTTTCTAAGTCGTTGCTTTTTTTATTACATATTCTGAAATATTTTAAAATACTTTCATCACTTTTTCTCTGAGTTGTTTTCTTCTATGTGTTTCTTCACAAATAGTCTCATATTGAAACAGAAAAAGAACAACAGAAATTGTCAGAATCTGTTATAAACTAACTCACACCAAGGCTCTCCGTTACGTTAGGAAGTCAATGCTCTAAGGCAGGCAAAAATGGCTGTAGTTTGGTTTGCACTATGGTAACATTAAACATGAGAGCAGAATTATGTCAACCCCAGTATCAAGCTCATCAAGCATCCTCAGTATCCTGAGTCCTACCTAATTTCTTTATGCTAATTTTGCAGCCTGACCTTTCCATGAGTAGGCAGGTGGGAAAATACACATGTCCCGTCAGGTGCCTAACGACTTCCGAGGCCAGATATACTGCTTTATGTCAGCGTGCCACCAGAGAGTCCCACTGAGCTGATCTGCATTTAAACAAGTCTTAGGGAGACTGCCTGACAGGCAAAGCACTGTATAAAATGGTATCTTTTTGGTTACAGGTAGTATTCCTCTCTTCAGCACTTTTAGCCAAAAATGTGCAATTTCCATGTTTCTTTTGTAAGTTGGCATCAGATGCTGTGCAGAGGAAGAGGCCTTGTTTAATTAATTCCTGAATTATGGACCAAGTTCTAAGGGCTGGTTTATGGCTCTGTGCACACATGGGTGTGATTTATGCTAAGAAACAATTTAATTAGCCTTTTTGAGGTACTGTTTCATTTGGACCTTGAAGGACTTTTCTTCCGTGAATAGAACCGCTTCAACTCAGAACCTGTGGCCTCCACAGTGCCCTATGCCTGTCAGTGCCACAACTGCATCATGAGATCTATGGAAAAGGACTCCTTTTACTGGGGGTGGGGTTTAAAAATGTTACTTGGTCATTTTATCAGGTAATCATTAAAGGCTGTGTTACAAGAAGTGAATTCACTAACCACTTTTGCCATGACGTTTGAGAGTCTGTCATCTCTCTTCTTATCGGCCTCTTTCTCTAGCCAAAGTCACGACCTATTTAGTCTCTCTCTGTACAAAAGTTGTTCCCTGATGCTGAATATATCCGTCACTTTTGTCTATAGCTTTTCTGGTTCTACAGTGCGCTTTTTTTTTTTTTTTTTTTTGCGATAAGCTGACTAGAAATGCAGCTGATGACAAAGTTGGAAATGGCAGCATAATGATGTTTTCTGCTTTGGTTTTGGCTACTTTCATTATAATTCCTAACATTCCATTTGCCTTTCTAACTGCTGCTGTGGTTTAAAAATGATGTTTTTAGAGGACATCTCTAAGCATGAGTCTAAGCTATTTTTCCAGAGATAATTCAGACCATCATTACGTGTATGCAAAATTAGAATTGTTTTTCTCTGTGTATGTTACATTGCTTGCATCAGCATATAATTTCATCTGCCATTTTATTTTCCAGTCAAGGAGCATCATGCAAACCTTCTGCTCATTGTCAGTTAAATTTGCTTGTTGGGTAATTTCATATCACTGGCAAACATTATAACCAAGTTTTAGTCACTTTTCTAGACTTTGGTTTTTGTCTTTAGTGCAGATATGTGTTTGATCTAATCCTACACAAAAGTGGAATACAATGTATGCAAATGAGCAAATGAATGAGGAGGACATGGTTAGGGATTTTTTTTTTTAATTTTGTACTGAAACTTGTCACTTTTTTTATTGTCTCTTTGTTCTGTTGAAACTAATTACTTTCAAATTGTAGTTTTAAGGCCATCTTTTATCAGGCATTTGCCTGAGAGGCTGATTTTGGAGATGTTAGTTCAAATATCTGAAAAATTTAGATCTGAGATGTAAGACCAGCTTTAAATAAAATAAGAAAGTTAATTAAGTGATAACACTACTGAAATTGATCCAGAAGAATGCCCGTTTATTGGGTTTTTTTGCCTCTTTGATTTTGCAAAGATAAGAGCTGTAAAGGATGAAGGAACAGTCTGAAAATTTTACCTCTCTCTGTATTTTGGGATATTACCAGTATGGGTTTGAATGCAGTAATTATTAAGTGAAAGTACGTGGACTGCTTCAGGTAGTTAAATTACAACGAGCCTTTGTCATTTTTATAATACATGCATAGAGCAGTGCAGCTCAATGAGTAAGAACTTGTAGCCTCCGTGCTCAGACAGTGGTGTGAAAGTCTTCCAAGGAACTTGATCCTATGAGTTTTTCAGTATTTCAAATAATCCCAAATGTCAGAATTTCAAACAAATATTCCAATAAGATCACTCCATCTTTAATGAGCTCACAGTATGCTAATTTGATTTAAGTAGTAACTGTTTTCTAATTTTAAACTCGATATCCTATTTCAAAAGGAAAGAAATTCAAGGCTAAGGTTATGTTCTTTTCATTTGATCACAGATTTGTCTGCTCTGCCACAAAAAGATGGCTCGTGGCTGAGTTCAGGAAATGGACACTGGTTCTTGGCAGTCAAGGAACCAAGGTCCAGGGAAGTAGGTGAAACGAATGCCTCTTGGTTTTTGTGAGCTTTCTTTCAAGTCTGGGATGGGAAACGTGCACATTACTGGTGAAAATGAGAGTTTGGAATTACTGAACTCTACTAATGTACAGAAGTTAAATTTCACTTTATTCATTTTTTTCGCAGCTTTTGGAAGCCCATAAATTTACCAAATAATGTTGAACCAGCAGCATGTATACCAACAGTGTATGCTTTTTTATTATGCTTTCAAAAAAAAAATCAAACAGTAAACCATTGTCTGAAGGGCTTGCTCAAAAGCTCTTTGGAGCTGATAAAAAATGTACTTTGTACACTTCAGGAAGCGACCACCAGACATGAGATCAGGGGCTGAATGATTATCAGAGGAAGAGCAGAGGCTGATTGACAAGGTGAGATAACCTTATGGGTTCAACTTCAGCACCAGTGGCTTGGCATTGGAGGGTATTCTGCTGTGCTGAAAGCGGAACAGATACTCTGTTGTAATGTTCTGCAGAATTGCTGTCAGTCTGCGCACTCTAGTGTGCAGCAGCCTTTTGAAAGGATGATACTTCATTGCGCCTGTAGGGAGTGAAAGTCACCCAAATGTGAAAAGCCTCTCTCAGATGCTGTATCCTCTCAAACCTTTTGTCATTCTCGGTACAACATTTGTTGTGTACGGGCCTGGCATTCAGGTCCCAGTACATCAAAGCTCTTTCATGGGGGTTAAGCACATATTCAAGTGTTTTGCTGGACTCAGACTAACGCATCTCCTAAAATAAAATACTTTTTTAATCTTGGAGTGGGCAGGAGAGTTTCTTCATTAAAGACTACAGATCCAGTAGTCTTGACAACATAGGAACAGGAATCCTACACGCAGCATTTGTGTAAACCTGTTACCTACAGAACAGTTAAATGTGGGTGAAGGTATGCTTCAGGCAATGGGCAGGTGTATTAGAGGCTTATAATATGACATTTCAACTGAACATGAGTTTATTTTACATCTATGAAAACATGAGCGAGAAGTAAGGCTTCCATGAAGCACAGAAGTACAGTCTTTGTGACATAAAAGGCTCTGCGAGGCAGCAGCTTGAAGTCACTGTTCTTTTTCTGTTAGCTGAAGTACCCAATATGTGCTATTTATGTTTTATTTTACTGTAGTTTAGCAGAGTACAAGTGCAGTGTAATCTTACCATTTAACTTGGGCTTTGTACATGACATATTGTGTGCTGGTATGTATTTAACTTTAAAATGGAACAATGCAGTTGCTCTTTATTTTTATTTTATCATTTACCTACTGAAAATTTTTACCAAGGCAAAATTTTACACTATGACATCACAGGAGAGGGAAAAAAAAGGCAAACAAAAAAACCTACAAACAAACAAATAAAGGGCAGAATGCATTTATCAGATTAATGCAAACAATACTTCTCATCTTCAGATCATTTGGACCTTTTGGTTGGAGTTCACTCTAAATCCACACTACCACAAAATAAAAATGCATTCTTCTTCAAGACTGATTTGTTTCCTCTGATGAAGGTAGTTTGTCAAGCGCTCCCACCTCTGCAAAAAAGAAAAAAAAAAAAAATTAGTACGTAAGTATGCATGCATGTTAATCTTAGCAATTAAGTAACAACATCCAAATTTAGTAGTATACACTTTTAGATTTTTCTTTTCTTAACTACAAGAGGCAAATCCTGGAGCTTTTGATATTTTAATTTATAAACGTTTTGTTTTTTCTTTTGAATATTAATAATATCTTCCTGCTATAATTTCACCTTTTTAGAAACAGCAGTGACAGAATGACAATGAAATTGTATCAATTTTATAATGTTAATTGATATTGCTGGATCCCAGCATCTCAAAAGTTTTAAAATTATCCAATGATGGCTGCCATCTTACAGCCTGCCCTACATGGGAAGCCTTTAAAGCTGGAGGGAGCAATTTTCAAGACAGAGCACCAAAGGCCACTTTCAGTTAGTGCCAAGATTACCGGTTAAAGTTTTCACTTTATCTTGCAGATCGAAACATAAGGCTAATCTGAATAACCATTCCCTGAACCTGAATCCCATGAGTGGGAGTTTCCCCAGTCCCCTCAAAGGAACATATCTAAAGCAGTATATTTAATGTAAAAAAGTTTCACTGGAGCAAAAATGTTAAAGTGTGTGTACCGTAATAATGTCTGTTTTTTACCTCCTGAAGCTACAATTCTGATTTTGTGTAAAAGTTTGTGCCAATAAATCTGGTTAAGGGATAATACGATAACATCGTGTCTCTTGAAACCTGGGAACTCAAGAACTATCTCAGGGAAAAGCTATTTCATATGATCTGGAGATTCCTGGGTTTAGGAGGACAGATGATAATACCATCTTTTCTGAATAAAAACAGCTGTTTGTCATCACTATCCCAAACACGGAATTGTTAGAGTTACAATACAGCATTTTTTTCTCATCAGTCCCGGGGAAGAAGTAATTTGTATTTCTAGGAGATGCATTTTATTTTCTTAGCCTGCTCAGGGAGGGCATGCTGGAGCTCAACGTGTTTCACAGCCTTTCTGCTGTATCCAGGTACTGGTTTTACTTCCCAGGCTCACACAGCAGGGTAAAGGAGTGCTTAGGGCTCCTCCTTCTTCACAGTGGCACAACAAACAAGCCACTGCTTTGTCCACAGTAAATACACATGCTAATAATCTACTTTGAATTATCTCAGGCCCCTAACCATAAAGAGTTTTGTTTCAAATGCAAAGTTGATTCAGTAAACATTGGGTTGATATTTTCAGTAGTGAGAATCATTTTGCTAGGGTGGATACAAATGATTTAGATAATTATGCCAGAGGTCTAGAATTTTGTTTCCTAGATACACAGAAAATGAACAGATCTTGAAAGTCTCTTTTAATAATGAAACTAAAATATAAATGTAACACACAGTCCTTTGTTACTATTCTACAGCGTAGACTTGCCACAAAATTGCTTATAATTTATTGTACACAAAGGTAAGAATACAGAAGTCACAGATTTATTAAGCTGCGTGCTGAGACAGAGGATTTCTCAAACATCTGTAGTAAAAATAAGTTTATTCCTTCCTGTTGTTTTCTTCACATTATTATAAAACTACTATAGTTTTAAACATTTTGTAGACACTTCTAGAAGGGCTGATTAAAGAAGGTTTTTAAAAGCTCAGAATTGTGGCGGTTTTTCAAAAGCAAAACTAATAAAAACTGAGAAGCAGACAGATTTCTTCTTCACCAAATGCTATAATATAGTTACCGTTCTTATAGAACCAGATGTAAGCTCAGCTTTACAATTGTGGTCACCATTTTGAGACCCCACAGAATTTTTACTAGCAGCATTTTGAGCTTAGTGTTGTTGCAATTTGATGATGTGACTTTATTGTTGAACACATGCAGAAAGGGAGATGTATTTCTTCTGTCACTAACAAGTGTTTCAGAATTTCAACCAACTTTTCTTGACATTAAACTCAGGTCTTATTTTAATTTGTTATTGAATTGTTTTATACTAACTCCGATGTAATCTGATGTTTCAACTCTTCTAAAGCTGGATCCACACAATTTTAGTAGCAGCTGTTATTATTTCCACAGTGCCCAGAGTAATCAAACAGTATGAGAACCCTGCTGTGCCGGATACTCAGTGACCTGCAGTCTGGCAGGACTGCCTGCACTCTCTAAACCAGGCCTGTTCCTGTGTGCACTAAGATGGAATTGACAGTTCCTCTCCCCAGCCAGAGATGATGTTCGAGGTCTTGCACACTCAAATTGGCAGCGGCCTTTTACATTCAAGGGTAGTCTTGTCTGCACAGTAAACTTCACACCAGGCAACGTGAAAGACTGAAGTGGTATTCACTAACCTTTAAGATGCAAGTACGTCAAAAATTCAATTACTGTGCGCACAATGTTTTCATCAGCCAGCGGTCTTCCAAGACTCCCTATAAAACAAGGTGATTGTTATTTAATATTAACATGGTATAAAGATCTATTTTATGTGAAATTGTGTCTAGGTTTATGAGTTCTGTGAAAAAAAAAGCTACTTGAAATTTCTTTTTCCTTAAAATCATTAATGGAAAACCTCATTTCATGAAGAGCAAAGCCACCTTAAGGTAGGCAACTGAAGCTCCCAGAATCCAAATTGCCCAGCCTTGCATGCTAGTGCTGCACAAGAGATGCTTTGACACCTCAGTGGTTGTGGTCTTTAAGGCCTTAGGAGTTCTGTTGCAGAAAAGAGTTACCTGTTCTCAACTCTCTCCTTTGTGTCCACCAGATTGAAGGGAAAGGTAAGTTCTGCAAACAAATTCATCAGCTTTGCAAAACAGTAGAGTTCTTCATGTAGTCTGACTTTGCTCCCAATAAGCCACTCAAGTGATACAGAAGCGATTTGTAGCCCAAAAGCTAGGTCGTGGACTTCACTAAAAGCTCAGAAAGGCACATTTTGCATGTGTATCTAATACGATACACTCCTCTTTGATCTGGGGGAAATAGGCCTCCTGATGCTTTGTAAATGGCCCAATTTATCAACCTCCCTGGGAGCTTGTTAGTGCACTTGGGAGGTTGAGAAGTGCGCTCTCTGTGTCTATTAAAAAAAAAAAAAAGAAAAGAAAAAGGGGGACATCTTGCTTTTTATCAACAGGATGGAGAACTGTTCTATATTAGAGATAGTAGAGAACAAATGGTAGGTAATTTCCCCAAGTTTTAGTTCTCTGCCAACAGAACAGATGGGTACCAGTATCTGACTGACAGTCCATTATTACATCACTGAGAATACTGTCACTTAATGGTATCATAGGGGATGTGTTTAATCTCAGAAAATATCCTGGAAGACTGACTTTGCAGCAGGTAAGTGTTGGTGGAGTTTTTCCACAATAGAAGAGAAGATCTAGGCCTCCAGGGACAAACAGGTCAGAAGGCAGACTGAGCTCTGTGGCACAACTAAAAAAAAACATCGATGGGGAGTTGTAAGGGACACAGGGGTTTCTGGCATAAAGAAAGTCAGCATTTAAGAATGCATCTGAAAGTCCTGTCTTCCAGTCTTTGAACTGACAAACATGCTTTTATTACTTATATTGATAATATTTGTATTTGCAGTTTTCCTTAATTTAATTTTTATTCCCTCCTAAGCTGGTATGGATTTCTCTTATGACTAATCATTATTATATTAGTAGTGTATTGACCCAGATTTTATTACAAATGTAATATTTATTGGATAAATACTTTTCTTTAGTGACTTCAGCATATTGTACATACATATTTCTATATGCTCTGCTATTGATCTTAATTCTGAATAGGCAGTTACTTGCACACTCTAGTAAAGAGACAGTGATGCTCTTGGAATTTAAAGATTTTTCTGATTATGCTCATAGACTTTTTTTCCCCTGGACCCAGTGTTATGTAACAGATACAGCTTGCAAGTCCTAGGTTATCTGGAGAACTTGCCAATTTTGCAGCATTCCTTCAAGGAGCAAGTGCAGTCCTTTGCATGGATTCTTTTACAGTAATGCTGTGTATGTATAGTGCCATTTTGAGATACTTTTGTAAATAATCAGCAGAATTTAACTAAAAAAAAAATCCTTCATTTCCAATTAAAGTAAGAATTCTAACTATCTTATCCATTTTTTCTATTCAAATCTCCTTTGGATAGGAGCTCTGTAACAAACTTCAGCTTCAAAGAAAACTTTTGATGAGAGAAGAGCATCTAAATGAGGCTCGCAACAGAGGCAGTTATATAATTTTCAGGGTCCCATCCAGACAAGTTTGGTTTACTTATAATTGTGGAGGTGCAGCAGCATCTGGCAAAAGAGTTCTATAACCCCTAAAGAACATACTCCTGTAGAGGAGCTGGCAGGATACCCACAAATGGCAACATGCTGCCACATGAGCTGCACTGTCAGGTTACAAACACGTTCCTTTCACATGGTTTCTGGCTAGCACAATATTATTTTGACACCAGTGTTTGAGGAAGTCGGCTCTACAACCCCCCCCCCTTTTTTTTTTTTCTTAAAAACACACAAACAAAACACCAAACCCACCAACAGGAAAAAAAAGCAACAAACCCAAACCAAAACCCAGCGCTCTGCTCTATCACTAGGCACCAGCTACACCAGCAGTCATTCTGAGGTGGTAACAGCTAAGAAATGGATTAATGGTACCCTTCTGTCCATGACATAATTAAATTAAAAGTTTATATTATTTAAATTATTATTTTTATTGTTTAAATTATGTCCATGACATAATGAAAGACACTTCTTTTGTTGATGACCTGATTTCGCATTGGCTACATCTGCATTGTGCTGGGCGGAATTACAGCCACCTGCGAGAGCGTTGGGGCTGGGGCTTTGCCTCCCCCCTCAGTGCAGCAGCGTGAGCACCTCTGGCCGTGAGCAGCACGTCGCTCTTTGCCAGGCTAAAGGAGAGATTCATCCCAGCTCACTTCAGATGTCTGCAGCAGGTTTAGTTTCTCCTCAGGAGAAACTAAGAGGTTTTTCTAGAAGTTTCTAGAGATCATTCTGAAGTAGGTGTTCAAATTAAATCTTAAAAGCACCAGCTGCTAGGGAGTCTAGACGCATATCATGCGAGCCCAGCTCTGGGTAATGAAGGTAGAAGGCAGCTGTATCCTTTTCATAGCCATTTACGGCATTCTGATACAAGCAACCTCAAAACAACATGTTGACCTGACTTGAGTTTTGACCAGGTTCTCAATCTTCTAATGAAAACAATCCATCTTCCATAGGTAATATGGTGAGACTTAACATGGATTTTTTTTTTTTTTTTTTTAAATAGTAAAGACTTTTACAGCATAAACAGCACCATGCAGTTCTAAGGTCTAGTTTCAGCTCTGGTGTAGCAGAATAAAAAAAATATGTGCCAGTTTCTGTATTCCTCCCTACTGAAACAGTCCTTTATGTGCTCACTTTGCTGAAAATAATGAACTCCTGAGTGTCTAGGGTGACAACTGAAATACTTATTTGAACATACAAAAAGAAAAAATCCTAGGTTTATACAAAGTGATATGTTCTATTATACTTTAAAATCAACACAACAGTGGTATTTTTCCCTAGGCACCAAACTACGACCATGTACAAGGGGCATGCTGAACTGCCAAATTTCATTTTTCTTCCTTTCATGTGTTTATTAGGATTTTTGCTAAAGAGCAGGACAAGCCTTGTACCCAGGTAGTTACCTAACCCAATAACAGTAAATCAATTACTGAATGTAAAAAACAAATCAACAATACTGGCTTTCAGAACTTCATTACCTGCTTCAGTATCCTCATCAGGCTGTATTTCGCGTTTACCAGTGAAGCCATATTTGTCGTTGAAAGATCTGTGGTTATCTACCGCATCTGATAAATTAATTAAAAATTAGAGGAATTAATTGACTTAACACCAACCTTTACTATAGTGCTTGATTTTCATGGATTTCAAAGAAGAGATCATGATGGGCACTTTTGATGTACAAAATGACAAAGAAGCAATTCATGTGTCACTAAATAAAATAATCTTTCTTCTGAATTTGTGCATATGATTTGCACCATTTACAGACCCAATCCTGTGCTACATACTCTGAATTCAGTAACAGCTTCAGCAAGTAAGTTTGAAAGAAAATGTAAGTTTGTACATTCACGTGTCACTTGGGAAGTTGTTTTTGCTACTCCTTCCTCTGTTTTGAGAAACGTTGCTGATGAGTTTGCTTAAAAGAAAACTGCAGAGAGCTTTTTGAAGGTTATTCATGTAAAACTATCTTACATGCCCCTGGTGCATCTTCTCTCCCCCTTGCAATGGGCATTTCCTTTATCAGTAAAAGCTGATCAATACGACCTGCAACAAAGGATGATTCCTATTATCCAGTCTTAGACAAATGGCACTTTGACAAGTACATTTCCCCCAGTATCTTTGCCAATTTGGCTAGATCTGCTTTGGGGCAAATATACTTCCAGGCATTTACAGAACAAGTTAATACATTTAAGACGCATTAATTTTTTTTTAGGAATCCTTAAGGTTCATTAAAAAGAATGAAGTATCTGTAGTATCTGTCATGTGTTACTAAGACTGAAAATATAGAAACACTGTTAATGTAATAACACACATTACCAAAGAATAATGGTAAAAGGACAGATATTTGAGATAGCTTAGCATGCGGTTCAATTTCTTATAATCTACATTTGTAATTCTCCATCTTTGTAAACCAATGTGTTCCTGTACTTTAAACACCTTGTACATTAAATATTTTTCACAGTGAACTATTAATATTTACAGTCATGAGTTTGCATGTTATTGTTTTAATTTGTTTTGCTTTAATTAAAAGAAAACAAAAATAGTAGTATAAAGCCAGGTAGCAAAGCCACTTTCAAACAGATTTAAAGGTGAAATCTGAAATACAGTGAGAAGTCCCAAAGTGTCACATTTTGTCATTTTTCCCTTGACATCTAAGATGCTCTGATATCATGTAACGCTTCCAGAGGTGGAGTGGGGAGTATTTGTCATATGAGAATTACGGTTCAGAAGCACAACGAGCAACCAGATGTACTTATCATAGAATGATCTGGGTCGGAAGGGACCTTAAAGGTCAGCTAGTTCCAACCCCTCAAATACATACATACTTCTGGACATAAAGCCTCATTGCTTTAGAAAAAGAATAGTTATTGTCTAAGACAACTCAATTCTGCAATAGGCAGGTAACAAATATCTGAACAAGTCTTCTCCCGAATGAGTTTCTTCAGCCTTGCAGGTTTAGACAAAATTGCTGTGTTTTTCAGAAAAGTGAGCAGCACACTACAGCAAACTGATTTACAAGAAAAAGAATCTTCTGCATTTTGAAACACTGCATAAAAAAAAGTGCTTGACTTACGTGGCCCAAGTAGGTACCCAGCGCTATTCAAAGTCCAGCCCCTTTTTTCTTTTGCCTTAAATAAAAAATGCAAGTGTGTTACTGTGTGAACAGCACAGCACTTTCTGAAGACAAAGCAAACAGCACCCAGACAGACATTCTTTTAGCAGAAAGCATCTTCTGAAGGCTTGGAATCAAGAAATACTGTAAAAAATAAAAGCCAATAATACCAAAGCAAATACTAATGCTGAACTCTGCCTGCTCACTGCCTAAGGCAATGGTTTGGCTCTTGACATCCGTGCGGTGGGAAGATTTCACACCGCAGGAGTGAAACTGCATGTCACACATTGGAGGCAGGAATTCTGACTTTGTGCTCCAAGTTTACGTTAACACCCGATAGTCAAACAGCAATGCTGTCTTTTAATTGCTTGGATTTACACGACAGCCTCTTTATAAATGAAGTCTGTGTGTACAGCACCTTCTCTGAGTCAGGTGGGACACCATTCCATTTAGGGCTATCAATGAGACTCTCTTCTTCCCCCCTCAGCCATACCATCTGTTACCAAGGAGCCAGCATTCAAAAGCCCCAAATCTTTCCTTTAAAACCTGTTTGCTGCCCAAAGTGCTGGTGAGCGCTGCCTCTTGCCCAGCCCCGTACCTCAGTACGGCACCTGCCAGGCTCGCGTCGCCGCCCAGCCGGGCCGCGGGCGCTGCCCGACGGCCGGGACCCCCCCGCGGAATCCGTACTTACGGAGAAAACCAGCCCGAACGTTTCCGACAGGGCGGCCCCGAGGATGAGGGTCAGGAACAGGAAACCAGCGCTCCTCTGCATCTGGGGAGAAGCCGGAGCCGG